CGGGGTGATCAAGGGGTCAATAGCTTTGGCCATCGTCTGAAATGGAGAAGGTAAGGTTACCACTCCAACATGAAAAAGAGCGGCTTACACTCCTACTGGCCCGAGGTGTTTCCCTGCAAACTGCTTGTAGAAGCACCGCCAGAGTTGAAACATCCGGCAACCATTACAGAGGATGCTACCTTTCTAGTGATCTAGTGACTCGCTTACTCTTGCAGTTCCTCATTGTGTGCCCATACTGGCCACAATTGAGGCACACGCCTCGTGCAACACGGTCACGCCACACCTCGTACTCCAGACCAAGCTTCACCCATGGTCACTTTGACCCTTGGGCCGGCCTACCTTTTGTTTCCCCGCCACCCTAGCCTTTTCCCTGATAGGAGCGACTACACCATTTGAAGTCTCTACACTCTTATCTATCTTTGTTTCTTCCCCAAGGTCAGAGAAGTCGTCAATCTCAATCGCTTAACCATCATGGTCAACGAGCATGAGATTGCCTTTTGGTCAACGAACATGAGATTGCCATTCTTCCTCCAATCTTGGGGAAGCTTCTTCTTTCTCCCATCTACGGGTCCCTGCTGGGCACTCCCAAGCCTAGCCTCTATATCTAAGGCTTTCTTGTTGAATGAAGCAAAGTCATGTACATCGACAGAAGCCTCATCAACCAACTTATTTTTGACGTTTATAGGCAGACATTGCAAGTAAGTTGTCAAGAGTACCTGCGGTTCGTACCGCACGCCAGGAACAACGATCAATTGCTGTACGATGTCTATCACCTCCCGTACTGTCCGGTAACTCTTTGATCCCAGACTAGCTAGAGAGTCGGTGGCCTTCTGAGCCCCTTGGGGGTCATGCCACCTACTATAGACTAACCGTACGAAGTCCTCCAACGATCTCGCTTGTGCCCAACCATCAAAGTTATGACCGTAGCCCAACTGTTGTACTAACCCGTTTAACCATCTAGCTGCAGATCCTTCTAGAAAGGACGCAGTGACTATGATTTCCTCCTCTGTCCTTGTGAGCTTGTACCTTACATACGTAGGCACAGTCCTCACCCAGGTATCCAGGTCCTCGTCCTTCTTCTTGTCACCAGAGAAGGGTTTAGGACTCAACAAGGGAGTCTTGGGGATCCACTGCATGGGCTGTCCAGCACCCTGTGCCTGCTGCATTGGATGAGAAACTGGTGGAACAGGCCACTGCGGCGACACCTGTTGCTGCTGCTGCGGTAGTTGTCGCTGCGGCGGACCCTGTTGCAAGGGCTGCTGCACTTGCGGCAGCCACTGAATGGGGAAATGAAGAAGGTTGTACAGGAATCTGCCCACTACTACCTACTACTACTCCGCCTGATGGGGGTATGCCAAACTGTGGGGTAAAGGGTTGTCCTGTCGGCGGCAGCATCATCACTAGAGCTGCAACCGTAGGGGGAACTACAGCAAACTGTGGTTGCCTGACCGGAGGTCGAGGCGCCCGCAATCCGGTCAGAATCTGGTTCTGACCAGTTATCAGTGCAGCCAACATCTCTTGCTGGACAACTTGTACTTCGGCTACACTCAGCAAGGAGTTCCGAAGGGACTGAACCACATGATCGAGAGTTGTCTCATCTATACCTTCTAACGTGCCTAGCTCCTCTGCCCTTGACCCTAGTCTAGCTTTTCTAATCCTAGCTCTTTCTCTTCTCTCCTTTACATCATGCAACTGGCGCTGTAACTCATTGTGGAGAGCGTCCGCTTCTTGGATTTCATAATCCTCTACTGACAGTTGTTGCTGCTGGCTGACCTGCGAGCCAGTAGACTGACTAACGGAAGTCTGGGTCATACCCTGACTGATACCTGATGAAGAGGCCTGAGATGAGGCTTGTGACATGGTAGAGACGGTAGCCATGGCTGCCTCGGCGTCAGCTCTAGCGTCTGCTTCTAATGCTGTTGCTAGTGCCCTTTCGGCGTTGGCTGCTGCTTCTCTAGCCCTCTGCAATGCCGCCCTCTCTCTGGCTTCTCTCTGCAGTCTCCTTTCCTCTCCTTGTTCTAACTCTAGGAAAGTGATCGGCCGACTGCGTGCAAGTCTTCAGGTAAGCCTCCTATCATCTTGCTCTAGTCCCTCAACCACACTGTCATCTCCACTCATGAGCTATACGTGTTCTGCGATCTGTACTAAAGTCCTCGCTGAGACCTACCGCAACATTTTATTTATTTTTATTTTTTTTTATTTTTTTTTCAAACCGGGCCCAGTGCCCAAGGCTGATATTACCAATAAGAAGATTGAGGCCGGGCTCCTCACAGTCTACCCGGAGTGACCGAACCGAACAGAGGGAGGAATATCTTCACCTTGATCTAGGCGCCAGATTCTGCCATTTCCTGCTAATTCCTCTTTCTCCCTCCATCCCCAACCCCCTACCAAAACACCCTGGAAACTTTGAAATCTAGTCGTCTCCCAAAGCATACCATTGAACCTCAACCATTGCCAATTCTGAGGGAGGGAAGGGATCAGGAAAACAATCTGGGGATCTGAGTGTGACTCCTGGTTGAAGTGACATCCAACCGATTAAAATAAAATAAAATAAATGTTCAGTCCAGCTTTGTCAGAAGTAGTCAAGTGGTAACAGAAGATAATCTCATATTCCTACAAACAATTTTATCCGACTTTTGACTAGTATGAAACAGATTGCAATGGAGCCAAGAATATTTACTACCTATCCGCAGCTGTTTGTCAGTTGTTTGCAAAGTCCATCACAACTAACTAATCAAAAAATAAAAATAAAATCATTTGCTGGTGTGCATGCAGAATGGAATTTTACAATAATAAACAATCGAACTGTTTATTGGAATCTTCCCTCCCCCTGTATCCTTCTTGAGTGGTCACTTGTGTCAACGTCAATGCAGAACTGGCCAGCCCCGGCCGTACTATTTTTATACTCAGGTACAGCACGAGTTGTGTATCCCCGCCAGAGTCTCTTTATAGACGGTCCGGTACTTGTCTCTCCCTCATAGGGCTGGCCTGCCCGACATGACCTCTACAGCGCAGCATGCAAACCAAAGGACAAGCGGTAAAGCATGCGTGTACTAGTCCCAGCGGGTTGGTATGGTGACCGCAACCCGAAATTGAGCGCTCGCGACACCTCACAATGAGAGGACTCTCAAGACAAAACTCACTTCCTCACGGAAAGAAGCAACGAAGAGGGTAGATAAGGTAAGGAGCAACATACCTCATAATTCTGCCCCCAACCACAGATTTCTCAGCAGTAACCTGACGGGCATCTACGATGACCGGTCGATGCCTCGGCACAACCCACAACACAATGCAGTTCAAAGGAGCAATGTACCTCATAATGCTTCCGCCAACCACAAATTTCTCACCAGTAACCTGACGTGCATTTACGATGATCGGTCGATGCCTCGACACAACCCACAACACAATGCAGTTCCCCCTCGGCTTAAATGGCACGTCGGCAAGTTCTCATCATACAGCGTGCACCCCTACATCACCAACGCCCAAGCGTTATCACTGCCCCACCATATCCAGCGAAGCACCAAACAGCTATTGCGAAGAGGCTAGCGGAGCGGCTCGAACCAGCTCCAATACCAAATTGCAAGGAAAATGAGAGAGAGCGATATGACAGAAATCCGGAAAGCAAAATCACATTGAAAGCCAGCAAGTCCAACGCTGTCCAGAAAGCAGAAATGCACTGATATTCCACCAACGAAGAACCAGAGCACTGAATCCGAATGTCAATGAGAGCATACTCTTGCTACCACCAACATATGTATCGAGAGTCCTTCCTCCTACTTGGCACTCAGCGCCCAGACAACTATCACACGGCCACTAGCAGCCTACGAATTGACAATGCATCCAGTTGACGTCAGCAGCAGAACCGAAGTACATGAAGATGTCGACCCTTGTAGACCATCGCCAAGACCAGGTACGTGCCCTCACATCATCAACCTCATCTCTCTCTCTCTCTCTCTCTCTCTCTCTCGACTTTCTCACCTACGTCTTCACCCTCAAACAAGAAGACCACCACCTCCTCCACTGGCTAATCCAAGCCGAGCCCGGCTACAAGGGCTGGCTATGGCGCTGCCCTCAGCAGCACCCTCTTCCTCTCGACGCCCGCGAGCGCCTGTACACCTGCGCTAGCGCAGCAGCCCACAAGCGCTTGCTCCAGCAGCGCTGCCGCATCTACACGCGAGTGCCCCAATGCTGAACTCGGAGCCCGGCCCTTTCCTATATGGAAAGTGGTGGGCAAATTCCAGTGGCTTCAGTATCGGCCAAAGTGTCTGCGCCCAGGCCCGTTCAGACAGTGGCCTGGGACCAAATTGGTTAGTCATGCCCACCCTTGCTTCAACCATGTTGATGGAAGAGCCTGAAAGGCTCACAAATATTTTGGATTCTCACGAGCAACGCGGAGGTAACCAACTGGTGCGTGGCAACTGTCTGGCGCCCACCAAGATTTGCAAAAATTGACGAACCCACGGCACATTGAGATTCAGGGGGGCCGCCTTCGCTTAGGGCGGGCATGCACCTGCTGCAGGGCCTTATGCCGAGGGGTAAATCCTGACACAGGGTGAAGCAGGGGTATATCCCTTCCAAAGGGAGCAATCAATACCCTTGTCTTGGATCCCTCCACAACCACGGGAGTGCGCTGAGTGAAATTCTGTAAGGGACACTGGACCCGGTTTCAAGCAATCGCTATAAGGATTCTGTTGATGCTGTCTGAGGGTCTCTCGAACACAACAGAGGGAAGCATTCAGTGGGGCAACTGGTTTTCCAGCAATTCAATAATGTTCGGCATTTTTTGAAGGAAAAAAAATGGTAGATGGGTACCCAGTCCCAGTGGCTGAGTGGTACATACATATGACTGTTGATAAACAGATCGTGTGTGAATCCTCCCACACTTCGTAAGGTATTTAATTTTTTTTTTAAACTAAATAAAAATAAAAATAAAAATGGTAGATGGGGAAAGCAGCAGAGATATCACTGAGGGAGTACACTGTATACCTCATGCCCCTTACATTTAAAATATGTACGAGTTTGCTCAGCAAATCTTTGTCCTTTCCGAGGGTCGAACAGACAACGCCATGAAGAGAGAGCTTGGAGAGGACGCGTGTGATGTTCAGCATTAGAGCACTGTTGAAAGGGAAAGCACACATTGCAGCCTTCAGAGCTTCTATAGTCCGCTGATCAAGAAAGTATACCGCATGCTCACCAAGCACTGCTAGATTCCGAATCGTCCCTGTAATCTGCCAGCCAAGCATAGAAAGGACATCGAAACACACTGCAATTTAGGCTACCTGCAATGAACCCAGATCGTGAAGACACTCGTCAACAATGCAAGTCCAGAATATTGAGCCGCTGATAATTACCAATAATCAAAATCGTGTCCAGAAAGAGTGCGATGAGATAATCATACACAGACGATGGAGAGAGGAGGGAGATTAGACAAAGGAGAGGAATAATAGTACAATGCCCACTCCGGCTGCGGGCTCCCTCCTCGATCACCACCTCAAATAATCAATAGTCTGAACACATATCCGAAGTCCTCTACAAGGTGCCACGTGGCACGTCTAATCAGTCTCTCATCAGCGCTGGAGCAATGTTGACATGAAGACAACCAGGTAAGTATCCACAATCTCTCCACAGTCCTGATCTCCGAACAGAACAGCAGTGCCGGTCACATAGTCCCAGCCATAGAACACGTGGCAACAGCCACGTCAGCAACAACGCGTGGCAGCTGCCGCATCAGCATGCCTTGAAGACAGTAGCCAGCCAGCCACCATGCCGAGCTAGCAGCGCGTCGCCGCAAATCTCCCAAATGCCAGCACGAAGCCAACGTCCACCAGCGTCGCAGCATCGAGCCAGCATCGCGTCGTCAACGCGTGAAGTCAGCATTGACGCAAGACAGAATGAATGTCAAAGCCAGGAAGTCAGTGCTTATGTAGCGTTGACGCAGGGTCTGGACCCCGGATGCTGCATCCCTCAACCGTCCAGATTTTGATGCAAACGAGGGCCCAGATTGATCTGAAACCGAATTCCCTCCGGCCTGGATGCTGTCTGGGTACCTGCGCACAACAAGTGAGTGTATCCAACCAAGGGCCAGGGCGTGGTACCTTTGACTCTACAGTTGACTTTGACCTTTGAATTTCCTATATGCAGTGTTTGGTCACACAGCCAAACGCAGCAGACTCAGGCCTGGGCGGCGGCTTGGTCACACAGGCTAGCGCAGACCAACCCAGGTCTGCGTTGCCTGGGGTGAAGTTCTGGGCCCCAGGCTGCCTCTGAACAAGGTTACTGCATTCCTGCCGGCCCATTTTCGAGTTCCAGCGCAGAAATATTTAAGACTTTAACCCTCGTTCATAAGCAGCGACAATATCAGGAGCAGTTTCAAGTAGTTCTCTTCTACTAAACCATCTGTCCTCAGATGGTGCTTGAGACCTGAAACGTACCTTGAACTGCTTCTAAGGTCGTCCACGTCCTCCTGTAGAGAAGTAACCATGTTCTATGATTCTTTCTACCTCGTATCTGCCTTCCATAGATGGCGGAATCATAGATGGTCTGTGTGGAAATTCATCCCCTTTTACATAGGGCAACAGTTTGGACGCGTGAAAGACAGAATATGTTTTGAGATGAGGGGGTATATCAATACGATAAGATTGTCCCTCTGCATCCCCAATTACTTTGAGAACTTCCCAGGGTCCAAAATAAACAGGCAGAAGTTTCTGAGACACATCTTCTTCTAAGGAAAACTCTTTGGACTTTACCCAGACGAAATCACCTTCCTTAAAGGTGGATGGTCGACGATGTTTATTTGCTTGTTCGATCATCTGGTCTTGAGCTTTCTTTAAATTATCTTTTACCTTCTTTATGTCTTCTTGAAACAAAACTGCACACTCTTGTGTCCCTGGAGGTAACCTAAGGAACTGGTCCCTCATTAGCACATCAATGGGACGCCTAGGTCTCCACCCCTTGTGCAGTGCATTTGGTGTACGACCCATAGCGGTGTGAACACTGTTGTTATATGCACTGGCTATCTTGGGTAAGTTCTCATCCCAATCAATTTGATTCGGTCTCACATACATGTGCAAGAGCTGTTGGCACAACCGGTTCATCTGCTCACTTTGTCCATTCGTTTCAAGGTGTCGCCCTGACGACATGGTCAAACGTGTACCTTATGCTTCCATCAGCTTTTGCCATGGCATACTTGTGAACCTTGTATCACGATCAGACACAATTGAGATAGGGAATCCATATTCAGTCACCCATCGCATCTGAAACTTTTGGATCACAAGTTTTGTCCGCGCCTCTGTGGGTAAGGGAATAAACATGGCATATTTAGAGAAACAATCTACAATAACCATCACTTGATTGTTGCCGTTGTGGCTCTTGGTGAGGCTCATGAAGTCCATCGAGATAGACTCACCTGGTTCACTTGGAATCGGTAATGGTTTCAGAAGACCAAGTGGATTCTCATGTGACGGTTTGTTTCTCTAACATACCAAACATGTACGAACATAGGTTAGTACATCCTCCTTCAATCCCTTCCACTCAAAGCGTTCCCTAACCTCTGCGTAAGTTTTCTTGAATCCAAAATGACCTTTAGAATCGTGACATTCCCCAATTAACAGACTTTTAATCTCTTCCTTGTGAGGAATACACAATCTTTGTTCAGTCTGGTCTAACAAGAGAAGCAAACCATCGATTACACGGTAGTTGGGGAGTAGAGTTGGGTCTTTTGCAAGGACATCAATGATAGGCTTCCAAATAGGGTCAGTAGCATATCCTTGCCAAATTTTATCTTTCAAATCATTCCCAACATCCAAATAAGAGACAATTGCGCCAAAGAAGTCACACCTTCTGGACAATGCATCTGCAACCACATTAGACTAACCTTTGATCGTTTTCAATTCAAAATCGAAGGTATCAATAAACGCAGACCATCGTACCAGCTTATCAGAGAGCCTAGGCTGTGTCTTTATCCACTTCAAGGTAGAGTGGTCACACGGTGAAGTGTCTCCCGAACAAGTAGTGCTTCCAGGTGTTCAGTCCGCACACTAAGGCATACAATTCCCTTTCATAGGTGGAATTGGCAACCTTTTCCGATGGCAGTCGTGCAGACATAAACTCAATGGGTCTATAACCATTGCCATCGTTTTGTTGAAGGACTGCGCCAATCCCGTACTGACTTGCATCAGTAGTGACGATGAAAGGAAGAGACGGATCAACAATTTTCAGAACAGGATAGTGAGTTAATGCATATTTCAACTTATTGAAAGCAAACTCACAATCCTTGTCCTACAACCATATTGTCTACCGCGTGGGCGCGGGGAACGCAGCCCTAAGGTAGCCGAATCAATGAGACTAAGAGCTAACACAAGAGAGAGAGAGAGAGAGAGAGAGAGAGAGAGTTTTGTTTCATTTATTGTTATGAGTGTGAGAGAGAGAAAGAAATAGAGAGAGAGGGAG